TCAAAATTCTTCACAGATCTGGAGAAGACAATAATCAACTTTATATGGAAAAACAAAAAACCCAGGATAGCCAAAACAATCTTATACAATAAAGGAACGTCTGGAGGCATTACCATCCCTGACTTCAAACTCTATTACAGAGCTACAGTATTAAAAACAGTTTGGTATTGGCATAAAAACAGAGAAGTCAACCAATGGAACCTTATAGAAGACCCTGACTTTAATCCACAAACCTATGAGCACCTGATTTTCGATAAAGGAGCTAAAAGTATACAATGGAAAAAAGAGAGCATCTTCAACAAATTGTGCTGGCAAAACTGGATTTCAATCTGTACAAAAATGAAAATAGATCCATGTCTGTCACCATGCACAAAACTCAAGTCCAAGTGGATTAAAGACCTCAATATCAGTCTGAACACACTGAACCTGATAGGAGAGAAAGTGGGAACTACACTACGACAAGTGGGCACAGGAGACCGCTTCCTACGTATAACATCAGCAGCACAGACAGTAAGGGCCGCATTGAATAAATGGGACCTCCTGAGACTGAGAAGCTTCTGTAAAGCAAAGGACATTGTCACTAAGACAGAAAGGCAACCCACTGACTGGGAGAAGATCTTCACCAACCCCGCAACTGACAAAGGTCTGATCTCCAAAATATATAAAGAACTCAAGAAACTAGACTGTAAAAGGCTAATCAACCCAATTATAAAATGGGGCACTGAGCTGAACAGAGATCTCTCAACAGAAGAAGTTCAAATGGCCAAAAGACACCTAAGGTCATGTTCAACTTCCTTAGCGATCAGGGAAATGCAAATCAAGACAACTTTAAGATACCATCTTACACCTGTCAGAATGGCTAAAATCAAAAACACCAATGATAGCCTATGCTGGAGAGGTTGTGGAGAAAGGGGTACACTTATCCATTGCTGGTGGGAATGCAAACTTGTACAACCACTCTGGAAAGCAGTGTGGCGGTTTCTCAGAAAATTTGGGATCAACCTACCCATGGACCCAGCAATACCACTCTTGGGAATATACCCAAGAGAGGCCTTATCATGCAACAAAAATATATGCTCTACTATGTTCATAGCAGCATTGTTTGTAATAGCCAGAACCTGGAAACAACCTAGATGCCCCTCAATTGAAGAATGGATGAAGAAAGTATGGAATATATACATATTAGAGTACTACTCAGCAGTAAAAAACAAGGACTTCTTGAAGTTTGCAGGCAAATGGATGGAAATAGAAAACACTATCCTGAGTGAGGTAAGCCAGACCCAAAAAGAAGAACATGGGATGTACTCACTCATATTTGGTTTCTAGCCATAAATAAAGGACATTGAGCCTATAATTCGGGTTCTTAGAGAAGCTAAATAAGAAGGAGAACCCAAAGAAAAACATATAGGCATCCTCCTGAATATTAACCTTCATCAGGCGATGAAAGAAGACAGAGACAGAGACCCACATTGGAACACCGGACCAAATCAGGAGCAGAAGGAGAGCAAGCACGAGCAAGGAACTCAGGACCGAGAGGGGTGCACCCACACACTGAGACAATGGAGATGCTCTATCGGGAACTCACCAAGGCCAGCTGACCTGGGTCTGAAAAAGCCTGGGTTAAAACAGGTCTCACTGAACATAGCGGACAATGAGGACTACTGAGACATCAAGAACAATGGCAATGGGTTTTTGATCCTACTGCATGTATTGGCTTTGTGGGAGCCTAGGATGTTTGGATGCTCACCTTAGGAGACCTGGACGGAGGAGGGTTTTCCTTGGACTTCCCACGGGACGGAGAGCCCTGATTGCTCTTTGGGATGACGAGGGAGGGGGAAATGATTGGGGGAGCGGGAGGGAAAGGGGAGGCGGAGGTGGGGAAGAGACAGAAATATTTAATAAATAAGTAAATAAATTAAAAAAAAAAGAAGTATCTGTTCATACCAAATAAGGAAATGCAGACAGACCAAAGATTCTGGTAAGTTCCGCTTGTCATGGAAAGAGCCCAATCCTCTGCCCGCCAACTCACAAAACAATAGCAGAGTTCACTTGCAAACCCGGGTTCGGAGCGCCACCTAGTGTTAAAGTACTAGAGATGACTGTAGACTCCAACCCACCAAGGCACAAACAAAACCAGACCAGAAAAGTATATTTAATCCATACTCTGTCCTTGCTCTTACCAAGGATTCTGCTGTTCTCACTAACCAACTGTGGAAGGATGGCTACAAAATTATCTCCATTAATGTGTATGGGTGTGTATGTGTGTGTGTATGGGTGTTTATGTGCATGTGTATGGGTGTGTATGGGTGAGTATGGGTGTGTGTGTGTATGGGTGTGTATGTGCATGTGTATGGGTGTGTATGGGTGTGTATGTGTGTGTGCATGTATATCTGTGCATCACATGCACGCCCAGAACCCACAATGGCCAAAAGACAGTGTTGGGTCCTGTAGAAATGTAGTTATAGACAGATGTGAGTTACCATCTGACTGTTGGGAATCAAACCTGGGTCCTCAGGAAGATCCCCAAGGATAATTTTTTTCTAGTCTCAGACATAAACAATGGCATCTTAGTAACTCTGTCCAGACTCAAAGGACTAGTCTCTGTGAGTTAGTTACAAGGATTTGTTTGTTTGGTTGGTTGGTTAGTTACCTATAGTTTTGTTTTTTGTTTTTTTGAGGCAGGATTTCTCTTTATAACAGCCCTGGCTGTCCTGGAAACTATTTTGAAGACCAGGCTGGCCTCAACTCGATCCACCTGCCTCTGCCTCCTGAGTGCTGGGATTAGCTTCGCATCACCACCACACCTGCCTTTAGCCACAGGATTTAAGCGATGCTGTGAGGCCCTGACTTCGCAAACTCCATTTTAAACAAGGGCTTCCTCTTAAGCTGTATAATGATCAGGGGCTGAGCTCAGCTCCAGAAATGTGCAGCAATAGCGGAAATTTGAACGGATACCCCGAAAACAGCCAACTAAGGAGCTAGGGAGCAGGGCCATACAATTTAACGAGGTCCGGATGTTCCTAGGAGGCCTCCTGTCCTTGAAGACACCTTGTCAGTTATTAATGGCTCTTTGCTAGGTTTTTGCACCCAAAAAACTGACCAATGGTTTCAGAAACTACCTTACCCTATACCCTCCTTAGCCCAATCCCAAGCCAACAGGACATGAACGCCCCTGATTATGGCACTTCCCCTTTAAAAGCCCTCCCCTCCATGACTGTGCTTTACATCGGAATAGGATGATGGAGGAAGGACATTGGTTAATTATAATAAAGAAACTGCCTCAGCCCTCGTAGGACAGAAAATTAGGTAGGCGGAGTAGACAGAAGAGAATTCTGGGAGAAAGAAGCTTAGTCAAGGAGTCGCCATGGTTCTCCTGCTCCAGACAGACGCAGGTTAAGATCCTCCCTGGTAAGCCAGCTCGTGGGCTACACAGAATATTAGAAATGGGTTAGAACAATATGTAAGAGCTAGCCAATAAGAAACTGGACCTAGCCGGGCCAGGCAGTGTTTGAAAGAATACAGTTTCCATGTAATTATTTCTGGGTATAAGCTAGCCATGCGGGCGGCCGGGTGCCGGGGACGCAGCCCTGCCGCTCCTATTTCAACAGATGGCGCCCAACGTGGGGCTAAATCCACTTAAAAACCTGAGAAGCCTTAAAAATAAGGGAAACAGAGTTTAACACAGATTTTTGCTGTTTTGTTGGTGACATGCTGTAGAGAGATTCCTGATTCAGCAACAGCAGCAGAGAAAAAAAGCTGCGTCATTTTAAAGCGCGGCTTCCTGGTGCTATGCTGCCAGCGTGAACTCTGGCTTTAAAGCATTTCAAGGCTTTTATGGGACTGGATGTTTCTGTTCCCACTTGGGATCGGAGGAGATTGCTCTGAGACCTGCCGATGGCTCAGCGTTCCCTGCCTACACCTGGGCAGATGGCGGAATCAGGCTTAGGCAGGCGGAAGAGCATGGCGGATTCCTGCTGCCATACAGAGACGCGTTTTCAGACTGCGCAGTGCTCTGCGTGTCAGATTTGGCTGTAACTTGGATAAAAAGAGTTTCTGTGCTGCACACTCAGTCTCAAAATTAAATTGCTGATTGCGGCTCCAATGTAAACTGCTGTTTGCCTGTAACTGTGCTCAGCTCAAAAGCACCAAATGACTCTGAGGCAGGAGCGGCTGCTCCTTGCTGAACTGTGCTGATCTCAGGCAGGAACTACCGTAATTACCTTAAAACCGTGCAGTTAAGGTTTAGACTGGGCAGGACACAGGCAGTACCGTATTACCTATACATGGTGCAACTTAAGTTTTTAAGAAATGCTTAACATTTTAAGAAATGCTCCTGGAAAAAAAAAAAAAAATTACAGATTCACAGTAAAACAGATTCAGACACCGTTGGATGAATGTACGTAGGCTTGGGGAAAAAAAGAGAATATAAAGAATAAAGTTAATGTCTTAAAAAGAAAAAGGGTAAAGTCTTTAAAGAGACAGAGTACAGAAGTACAGATAGTTATAGATTAAGAGAAATAAAGAAAAATAAGCCACGTAAAAATGAAAAATTCACAGAGAGTCTGGATTATGTACATTGTGTTTTCTTTAAAATTTTTGACTGTGAAGGAGCTAAGTACAAAGAGACATTTTATTATATGGGCTGCTAAGCTGAACCTGCACATATGTTCTAAAGGTATCTTGACTTCAAAATTTGGATCTAAGGATATGATGCTTTGGAGAGGGTCTTCTTTTGTTTCCACAGAGGATGTGACCCTATGGATTGCATCTATCCCGGTATGGTATGATAGACCACGCCCTCCTGAAAGGTTGCTGTGAACACCCTCAAAAAATTACTTCACTCAACTGCCAACCGAGATGAACCTGACACACAGGTTACACCCTAAATGATCTGATTAACAGTGCCCCCATTCAGCAGGAAGCAGTTTGGAGAGAAAAAACTACGCCCATGTTCCCAAATATTGTTTATAAATGTTCTTTTACATTTAAAGGGGGATATGATATAGATATGAATAATTTGCATTGGTATGGATTTTAAGGTCAATTTTGTTATATGTATATGTATTTTTGATCTTGATTAAGGTATTGTGATTGTGTAGTTCATTTAAAATGTAATGTATAATTAGGAAATATAGGTTGTTAATGGATAATCATTGCTAATAGTTAAGCTTGTAGTCATGTTAATTAGATTTTCTAGATATATAGAGATATATTTCAATTAGATAGGCATTCTTCATATCTTTCAAAGACTGCAGAATATGGCATTTAAAATATTTTAATAACTTAGGACTTTTCATGACAAGGAGACACGTCTGCTCCTGGCAGCACCAGCTACTTCAAGAGGAAGATGGGCATCGAAGAGGATCCTTATGGAGTTTGATAGCCATTTGGGCAAGAAACTGCTCTTGCCTGGACTGTTGCATAAACTGGACACAGAGAACCCGCAGAGAGAGGACTGCTGAACTTGCCTAAAGGTGAGATGGTCTTTCGGGGTTCCTGATTCATGAAAGAGTCTGCGAGACATTCTGCAGGACACAGCAGAAAATGACTGAACTGTCTTTGAAATTTCCTGCTTCATGGAAATGTCTCTGGATACCATGGGCCTGTAGGCCGAAGATGGATGCCCCAACGGTACAGAGGAACTTTGGGTGACTGTCCAGGCAGCGAGATGTCTCTGTCATTTCTAGAGTTTTCTTATTTCTTGTTTACTTAGGTATTATTATATCCTTCTGGAGTCTTTGATGGAGTTGAAGAATGAATAGTTATAGTTTTCCTTAGTTATGATAAGAGATAAAATAGATATAAATATTGTAACTGTAATTCTTGCTTGATAACTGTTTTGTTATATGTAATTTTACTATGTTAAAGTTAAAGCCTTTCTTTTTTGTTTAAACAGAAAAAGGGGAAATGATGGAGGAAGGACATTGGTTAAGTATAATAAAGAAACTGCCTCAGCCCTCATAGGACAGAAAATTAGGTAGGTGGAGTAGACAGAAGAGAATTCTGGGAAAAAGAAGCTTAGTCAAGGAGTCGCCATGGTTCTCCTGCTCCAGACAGACGCAGGTTAAGATCCTCCCTGGTAAGCCAGCTCGTGGGCTACACAGAATATTAGAAATGGGTTAGAACAATATGTAAGAGCTAGCCAATAAGAGGCTACAGATAATGGGCCAGGCAGTGTTTGAAAGAATACAGTTTCTGTGTAATTATTTCTGGGCATAAGCCTGCCGTGCGGGCGGCCGGGTGCTGGGGACGCAGCCCTGCTGCTCCTAATCCAACAATAGGATTCCGTGGAGGTTCTTTTGTGGGGATAATTAACTTGGGCATGACCATACATGTATATATCATACTATTGCCGAGCCCAGGAAATGCTTGCTTACCACGCAACTATCACCTGCATCTCCATTGCAAAGGTCAAAGTTTTTTCTAAAGAGGAGGTTTATATAATTGTTCAATATAATATTTTGAATAAGAGTCACATGAGGAATTTAAACTTAGTGCAGTGTTCAAGCTTCCAAAACTGGGAGTCTTTGATTATCCCTGTACCCTCCAAGCATGGTGCTATGGTTTCCCATCACCCTCTAGTGAAGAGTATTAGAAATGACGCAGACACACAGAGTGAGACATTGCTTTAATTTTGTTCCTTCAGATAATCTATGTTCAACTGGTTTTTGCTAAATACAAACAAAGTATCCTGTTAACACACATACTTTCTCATGCTATTCTCTAAGATAGATGGGAACGCTAAACACACCCGGGTCACGCTAACACTGCAATAGCACACAATGCTGGGGGGCTGTCTGTTCCCTGGGGCAATGAAGCCTCAGAGCTGGAGACCACCACTCCTTTTTAAGCTAGCACAGTAGCCCATAGGCTTCCATGCTGCCTTGAGACCCTGCTTGTGGTCAGCTCCCCCCAGAAGCTAAGTGTTTGATTTCCTGACCAGTGTCCTAACCTATAGCTCTTCTTCCTCGTTCCTCTTAGTGCTCTTAGAACAAAGACCACAACAGTGTGAGTTTTGCCGGTGTTGTTTTGGTTTTTGGTGGTGGTGGTGGTTTTGTTTTGTATTCTGGTTTTTAGAGATAGGGTTTCACTATGTAGCCCTGGATGTCCTGGAACTAGCTCTGTAGACCAGGCTGGCCTCAAACTCAGAGATCCACCTGCCTCTGTCTCCTGAGTGCTGGGATTAAAGGTGTGCACCACCACTGTCTGGCCACAGTGTGTTTTTAAACATCTAGAAGGGGCAGAGCATAATGGTGCATGCCTTTAACTCAGCACTTGGGAGCAGAGAGAGGTGTGTTTGAGTTTGATGCCATCCTGAGCTACATATTGAGACCCTGTCCCAAAAGAATAAAGAAGTCTAGAATGTGCTAGTACTAAGGAGGCTCTTTTTTAGATAGCCTACTAACTGGGGCTCGCTGGGACTTTTCTACTTGCTTTGTTTGGTTTAAATGAATTTAAATATCACCACATGGTCGAGTAAATTAGCGGGTTCCCCTGCTCCCACCATAGGGTTTTGTTGCACAGCTAGCTGAGAATTGGCCAGAAAACAGATTCAGCTGAAACCTGTCCGCCACCATGTCCCCCGCTAACTGGGCCAGGGTATCCCAGTGGGATGACAGTATTCACTTATGTAAGTGCTTAGACTGGGTGATGGACAAGGCAGCCATGACAGGGAAGACTGTGGGGCAAAGGTGAAATGTGGGCACTGAGTTAGGACAAGTTAACTCACTAAGTGTCAAAGCGTGGCTGTGTAGGGACTACAGATCGATCCCCCTCGGTATGAGAGCCCCGTCTGAGGCACAGCTGCAAGTCTGCACCCTCATGTTGGGCAGGCTGACCACCTGAGGCCTGGTCCTGCCTCCCTCCTTCATGCTGACAATCATGGGCAGGGAGGTCATCTCTGACGCAACACACTGCCGCGGCCCCAGGAACGGCCACTTGATGGTCAGGGACTCTGGTGGCTGCAGGCAGCTGCCCACACACTCATAGACCAGGAACCCTGGGGGTTCCAAAACCCAGTTCTCAGCCCACTTCATCCCCTGCAGGTCAAGGTACATCTCTTGGCGGCAGCATCTGGTGCCTTCAGTCACTGGGGCCTCAGGGTTACAGTTGCCTTGAGCCCTGTGGGGAATGAGAGGCCAAAAGTCACCTGACTGACAGAGCCAAGGTTGGGAGCCTCCGAGGAGACTTACCATCCATTTTTTAAGGCATCCAAAGAGAACTCATGAAGGATAAAGAACAAGTAAAGAAACACGGCTAGAACATAAAGTCATCTACTGCTTACTAAGGGTTGGTCTGTGTAACAGCCCTGTCTATCCTGGAACTCACTTTGTAGACCAGGCTGGCCTCGAACTCAGAGATCCACCTGCCTCTACCTCTCCAGTGATGGGATTAAAGGCGTGCACCACCACTGACCAGCAATAAAAATATTTTTAACAACAACAAAAAAAAGCATATGTGGGGCAGGCAAGGTAGCTCAGCAGGTAAAGTGCCTGCCATGCAAGACTGAAGGCCCACGTTGGATGGGTTCCTGGGACCCATATAAACAAGAAAGAGTAGAACAAACCCCACAAAGCTGTCCTCTGATTTCTGAGTGCACACAGGTACACACTACATACACACACAGAGTAATAGCAAATACAAATGTGGCAAGCGTATGCTTAATAAGATGTTTTTGTTTTGTTTTTAGTATCTTTGGATCCATGGTTATTGAATCCAGTTTAAGGACCCTAGATGCACAGGGCAACACAGCCCTTGTCTGCTCCAAATATACCTAACTTGTCGCTTGAAAAAACAAAATCTAAGTTTAAAATAGCTCAAGCTAAAATTCTCAAAGACTTATTCATTAAGGGAAGAGTGGATACAGACTGTTACAATAATGTATGTAATTCAATATTTGACTAATAGCACTTCTAAACGCACCGCTAGGAACTCTTGTGGATAGGAATGGGTCACCTCCTGGGACAGCCTACACAGCCCACCCCTAAGCCAGCCCAAGAAACTTGGGAAGGGTGACTCAGTCTGCTGTACCCCAGGTTACCCAACCTCCAGCCTACCCGTAGTCCTTGAGATCCAGCGTGTGCAGCTCCAGCTGGGGCTCGCCCCGCCCCTCGCTGCCCGGCGCTCCTTGAGCAGCAAAACGGACTAACTTGTGTGCGCTCCACGTCCCCGGACCCAGATGCTCCCTCTGCACCGACACCTGCAGCAGCAGTGGCTGCCTCGGCCGACTCAGCTGCTGCCAGAAGTTCACTGCCTCCGTCACGTCGAAGGCCTTCCAGCCGCTCTCGTGGATGGACACGAGCCTGCGACACAGCTGTGCGTCAGGCGAGGGGACTGGAAGACTGTCTCCAGTCTACTAGTAGAGGACTCTCCAGTCCCGTCCTGTCCCCATCCCATCCTCTGCTGCTCCCCTCCCCCAGCAGGGCCGAGCCGAGCTCAATTCCCCCACAACACACACACACACACACACACACACACACCTACAGCCTATACCTGGAGTCGATGAGGGCAGTGCGGTTAGAGCCATCTTCACGAACTCTCAGCCACTCAATGGTGACGCGAGCCCGGGCACTGTGTGGGGACAGCCTCTTTTGCCTCCGGAGAGCAGTTGTGGGGACCGGCTCCTGGAACAGCCGCAGCACGGCCTGCACCAGCTCACTGTTAGGCCGCAGCCGCTGCTCCATGCCAAACACTAGCAAATGCGTGGAGGTCTCGGACACCAGGAACCTGCCTGCCACCTCTGTGGGCATGGACAGAGTCAGCCGGGCTTCTACAGGAACCGGGAGATCTCTGGGATGGCAGGACCACTATGCTGGGAGTTGGCTGGGACAGACTCCCCCATTCTATGCCACTGGTACAAATCTCCAAGTACAAAATTATTTATAATCTCCAGGGAAACTTGTTCACCAAACCTCCCTAATCTGGCTGTGTCTTGAGGTCTGGTCCCAGTCCTTAACGGGAGAGGCTACCATCTAGGCCCCTACATCTCCACAACTGGCCACCTCCATTCTCAGGATGCTGGTTTGTTTGTTTGTTTCAACCCATCACTCACTTCGATGTTCATAGTACAAAACCCAGTTGGCCACTGTCCCAGATAGTCTGAGATGGTGACCCCAGGAAGTCATACTACTGCTTCCAGAAAAATTAATACTTACTACACCCTACACATACCCTAAGGTTCTGCTTTTCCATGCTCTCTTTCCCTTCTCTGGGTCTGAGTCTTGCCCATTACTCCAACCTAATCCACCTCCTCCTGTCCCAGAGTGACAGTCCTCGGTGCACAGCCAGAGCCTGGGGCCTAGACCCAGCCACCCTCCAAGGCCATGTTTGCATTTCACCACCCCTCAGACTAAGCCCCCCACCTTTGTGTGCAGTGCACACAAAGAAAGGGTCCACTGACATCCCCAGAGTGGGCATGCTCAGTCTACCCTCTCAAGAGACCAGGAGCAGCAGGAAGAGCTCACCTCTGAAGTTCTGGCTGAACCTCTTGCCTCGGGAGCGGTCAGCATGACTTCGCTGTAGCAGGGTCACATACTGGGCCCTCACGTGGGCAGGGATGGCCATCCCCTCCACGTCCACCCTGTCCAGGATGGGAGCCTGGCTGAGCTTCAGCTGCCGCAGTAGCCTGACCAGGACCTGCTCCTCGGTCACAGCTGCCCCATGGCCAGCCAGGGGCAGCACCCCTAGTAACCAGCAGAGCCACAGGGACTGCATGGCGCTGCCCAGGAGGAACTGTGGATATTGGGTAAGTGGTCCCTAAAGTGCCCCGAAAAGCTCTTGGGGCCTAGATGGCCTGCTGAGAGTTAGTGCTGGCTTTCTTTATAGCTGGCCCTGGGGTGGGGGGCAGGGAGGAAGGACAAGAAAGGTCACACCCCTGGGACCTCCTGGGAGCTCAACACCAGACCAGCCCCTGAGCCCCGAGGAGGGGCTGTCTAGAAAGGGTACAAAGAGCTGTCTGGAAGACACACAGGCCAGGGTTTCTGGCTGTGGGGCCTCTGCCTCTCAACAATACCGTTCACGCCTGCTGGGGTTATCTGACCGTGTCACAGTCCTGCTTGGTGGGAAAAAGAATTCCTGGGAAAAGGAGAGTGACTTTCACTTTCTCCAGCTACTGATTTTTATTAAATGTATATTACTATGACACCTACCTGTGTAGCCCTGGCTGGGCTGAAATTTTGGGAAAAAAGCCTAGGTCAGGCTGGCCCCAAACTTTTTGACAGTCCTCCTGCCTTTACACACACGCGCACACACACACACACACACACCACTTACACACATACATGCACACACACCATACACATACACACTGGCAGGTGTGCATCACCATGCCCAATCTGTTTAAGTCTCTTGCAGACTGCTCCTGGAGGTCATCTAGCCTAGGCTGGTCCATGGAGAAGGTCAGAGGGAGCAGAGTCCCGCATTCCTGCTGGGCCTGGTCACTTTCACAGATACCTCAGAGTCAAAGAACTCTGCATCCTTCAGTCCCCCCATAGATTTCCCCGGGGTTCATCACAGTCCTCACACCACAAATGTCAGAGAAAGAACGGTCCTGTTAACTAGAGATTTGGTAGCATAGTCTCCATAAGCGTGAAGCCTGTCCCATCTTGCCCTCAGAGTACCACAGAACGTGTCCCTTCAGACAGCAGTCCCCTCTGGGAGGGGTCCACACACTAGGTTCATACCATGAATACTTGGACTTTCATCTTGTTCACGGTCACAGAATTAGGGACAGAAACCTTCAAAACAGAGGCCAGATCTGCCCAGAGGCATGTCCAGTCCTCAGTCACAGTTGCAGACACGTGACTGCCCCCACTTCTTCCTGCTCCCATTTTAAAACAGTATGGTGGGGGCCAGACCTTCTGGGGACTTCATTACATTCTTGGTGCTTTGTTTTTCTCATCTGAAGAAACAGGCGACAATGGCAGAATCTACTGCGTAGGGCTGGCACGAAGGATAGATGATGGGCACCGAGTCTGGAGCTTATAAAATGCTAGAGAAGGGTTTGCTTTCATCGTCATCCCCTTGGAGGGTGCGATCTCAGCACTGTGGCTTTTGTAAAGACATCAACAGGAGCAACATGGAGCCTGGGGGTGCAGCTCAATAGAGCACTTACCTAATGAACGGGAGGCCCTAGGCTCAGTATCCAGCACTGCTTTGGGAGGCGGAGACAGGAGGATCGGAAGTTCCAGGTATTCCTCAGCTACATGTCAAGTTTGAGGCCAGCCTGGGATGCACAAGACCCTGTCTCAAAAAAATGCATAATAGATACATGCATGCATGCATGCATAAATATGTATGTACAGCAGTAGCAGACATTGCTTGAGTGCTCACCTGTGCCAGCCATTTCAAGCTGGCAGCATGGATCCATGCAGCCCTCAGGAGGCAGATCTGACCGAGACTGGTCAGATCACTACAGAACAAAGTCACCTGTCGTGATGTTCAGTTAGCAGAGACCTTTGGACATGAATGTGGGTATATGTCTCCCAATGCTTCTTCTGACACAGAGATCTAATGTGTGCAAAAGGAAAGCCCTTCCTGTATCCTCGATTCTCATGGAAGGTGAACAGTGACCATGGAGCTAAGGGCCAAAGGACCTGGTAGGCAGGGATCACCTCTCTGCCTTCCCAGTGGGGGGACACTGGCCCCTGGGTATGCCCTGTCTCCTATTAAAACTATTTCTGTCTTTCTTAGACATCCCCGATAGAAAAGAAAACTCTCTTGGACTCAAGGGAAAAACTAATTCTGATAATAGCCCAAACAGCCACCACACACACAGACACACACACAGACACACACACACACACACACACCAATTCTGATAGGGCCAAGGGTATAGGTCTTAGGAAAGCATTTGCCTAGCACTCCCAAATCCTCAGGTTTGCGCTCCACTACTGTGAAAAAAAGGAAAGAAAAAAAGAAAGAGAGAAAAAAACAAAATCTGCTGATAATCATAATGGCTAATAAAGCTTATAGGACGTGTATACTTGCTTTGTTTAATTTCGAGACAGTCTCGCTATATAGCCCAACCTAGCCTTGAACTAAGTTCTCTTCCCTCAACCTTCCTGATGCCAAGATTATAGGCACGCACTCTCATGGCTGGCACTGTTCAGTCTTAATTCTCACAATAACCTGGGGATGGACCAGTCGTTATTACTGCCACCTTATAGATGAAGACACTGAGGCACAAAACTGTTATGTGACTTGCCCAAGGGTGGACAATGACTGCCAGGGGTAGGGTTATTTGAAGAAAATGGCATGGAGATTGGGACACATGATAGGCAGACTGAGATGAGAGAAATATAAAAATCCTGCAGCTGGCCCCAGAGAGGGAAGTCTCACAGTCACAGAACGATGACCTCAGCTGCTTCCCGGTCTCTTTCCTCTTCTCTCCCACCTCTGTTTCTGAGGAAACTAGGTAATCCCCCAGAAGGAATTCAAATCTCATTTGGGGGCTAGGGATAGTTCAGTGGTTAAGTGCTTGCCTAGCACGTGCAAGGTCCTGGGTTCCATTGCCAGCACCAGCAAAACAAAAGAACAAAAACTAATCCCATCTGGAGCTCACATCTCCTAAGGAGGGTCCCCTGGAATATAAGACCCCCACCCTGCATCCAGCCCAGAGGAGCCCTTGGTGGCTGACAAACACGGCCTTCTTCAAAAGGAACATTGGCTGCCTTCCTTTGCAAGTGATTAACAGGGAAGGGATGCTAACATTTGGGGCTTTAGTCGGGCCAAACGGCACAAAAGTGTCACATTCACAGGCGACCAGGACCTGTGGTCCTTAGTCCCTGAAAGCTCTTCTGGGCTGGTGTCCCATAAATATGCAAGAGTCCACCACCCTTGCCACTGGCTGACAGGAAACCCTGTGGCTTATCGTAGCCGGGACAGTGTCAAAGATGTAACACCACCCGAAGCCCTGCTGTGGTTCAGTGAGACCTTCTGTCCCAGAGCCAAAGAACAGCATCTGCTGTTGTCGACTTCCTGACTTGCAGATGCTCCCAAGGCCTCTCTACTGCCACCTCATGGACATCTTCGATCTGAGGCCACCGGGGTACCCGAAGTGATCAGGGTACCTCCCTCTACCCTTAAGCAAAAGAACAACCAAGCCACAGAAACGTCCATGCTCAGAGAAGATAGTAGAAGGCCGGAACCCCTTCTCTGCTGCGTTCCTGCTTCCCCAGAGGTCCTGTGGGTGCTTCTGCACCGAGACAGAGCCAAGCTAGGAACTGGGCCCTGAGTAGGTCAGGAACTGCCTAGTCATTATTCTGCTTCTTTAAGGACTTAGAACAGGGGTTTTCACCTTTAACCCCTTTTCGAGTCCTTCCTCGGTTTCACAGAGGGTCTTTTTCTCAGTGTCTACTGCATGTGTGTTTCCTTACCCCCAATAAACACCTTACTTCAACTTAAAAAGAAAAGGACCCTGAATACCTGGGAACCTCTTTAGGGACTTAAAATTCCTGGAAATTGGTGACGAAAAGGTCCTGGGCAGGGTGGCCACTAGGGGTATCTATATAACCCTTCCTGAAATGGAGGAGCCTGGGGATGTTTAAAACCAGGGAAAGACTGACATCCTCTTTCCCCTGCCAGTCTGTAATACCAGACATCTCAGGGCAGAAACAGACTATCTGGGCCACACAGACAGTGCAGAGAAAGCGGGGTCAGAGAAGCCACACAGCTGATGCGCCAATTCAAAGGCCAAAGTTCTTCCCGCACCCCATACTTATCCCCAGCTCTGGCTTCTTTGGCAGAAGCCATCCATCAAGTCGCAGGCCACTTGAGAACTCAGACAACTCAAGAGTCAGGTCCCAATGGGGGCAGGGCAGCGTGAGAAGCAGACAGAGAAACAGAGCGCCAATCTACCAGACTTCCAAGGCTTCCCGAGACCCAGGCCAGGGCTCCTGGATGTGGATTCCCAGCAGCCCAGAAGAGTTCTGTTGGGGAAATACAGTAATTGGGCAATTAGCCAATGGCCTAAAGAAGGATGCGGTTGTGGATTGGAAAGTTTTACAATGGGCAGATTGCTCAAGTGGGGGAGGGGAGCTACTTTTGTCATGTAAAGGCCAGGCCTCCCCCTTATATTGTGGATCTGAGTGGGACAGAGTGTCTGGGGTGGGGTCAGGTCAGGCCTGAAAAAGCAGAAAGCTTCTCAAACTGCTCCTCGGGTCCTGGAGAGCAGGGAACACTCCTTCTAGAGCTCTATAAACCAGACGTCTAAGGTGGGGACAGTCCAGACTATTTATGAACGGCAAATCTTTGGGATGGTTGTTGAAGATGCGTCTCCCCCTCCCCCACAGAGCTTTTATGCGGTGGATGTTCTGAGAGATTGTAGAAAGTACAGATTCCTCACGAGACCCCCTGCGAGCACCAATCTCTCCCAGCCTGGTTTGCGCCATTCTCTCTGGGGCCCACAGTCCAGGCCAAGCCACTAATTTTGCTCAGTGGGGCATCATGGAGGCTCCATGCAAGCTAACCCTGGACTGCAGGGATAGCCCTGTGCCTTCCCTTTCCTTAGATCCACATCCCACGGCTGTGCCACCTGTCACTTTCCACCAGGTAGGTGTGTTCCACGAGGAGTCACCTGAGACTTGCTAGCTCCCGTCCCCCAGCCTGGCCCTCTGCCTGGATTTCACCAGAGGCAGAGTTCAGGAATCAGAAGGTAAAGAGAAAGATTCTTCTGTTGGAGAACCGGGGCAGAGGGAACAGAAGTGTGTCAAAGC